ATAAACGGAAAATTCTGTTAAACCTTGATCGTTTTTTGACAAACAATACGATGGCCTCAACCTTGAATGAGCTAAGAGCTGTTCGACCTAAGTTCTTGCCTGCTATATAACAAACAGAATACAGTTCAGTAGCGACTTATATAACAAAAGACTTTAAGAAAGATTTCTTAACCTACCTAGCGTTGTGATATTGTCAAACTTTCTAATGTCTTATAAAACACTAGTCAAAAAAAAAATGATTCATTGAATTTTATTCATACACTCTTTGTTTCTACTGCTGTCCAATACAAGCGTAGGAAAAGGCCGACACTCATGATAGTGATTATCATCAAAGACATCGAAGCTTTCACCTTCTTCGCGACAAAAAAATGATGCTGTCTTTGGTTATACTGTTGAAAGCTTTCTTTCAACAAATATAGACTAAGTTCAGTCTCATTAAATCTAAAAACTTCACCGTCTTCGATTAGGGATAATCTATAATTGGCGTTTTCGCGAGATGAAAAACAAAATTTTTCTAATAAAAAAATCTTACCCATAATGTTGTTCTTTGAAAATACTCTTATCATTAATAATAAAATCATCGTCATCATCATCATTTTCTTCACTTGATTCAAAATTATCATCTAAATTTGATTGAAAATCTTCATCGTCATCATCTTCATCATCAGTAAAAATATTATTTGCATTTAATTTAACTTTAAGACAAGCTATATAACGTTGACAAAAATCTCGACATAAATCATTAACTTTATCCAGTTCAAGTAAATGTATACGAAGTACTTGCATTGCATCAATATAAAAATTATCAATTATTGAAGATGTTTCATCATTATTATGTTTTGGTGTTGTTAATATGTCAGGATTTTTTGATAAAAATACTTTTAAATTATGTTCAAATGATGATGATTGATAAGAATCTTCATTATTTAATAATAATGATGGATTTAATGTTGCCTGTTCACATCGTTCAAGTACATAAACAAGTACAGGAAATAATGGATGTTTATAAATTAAACTTTTTTGAGCAGCTAATAATTGAACATCATTTGAATCGAGACGATTTTCATCATTATCATCATCAGATGATGATGTTGATGACATGTTTTCTTTTTTCTGCAAAATAAATGCTCTATTTCTGCTGCTCGTATAATGAGAATTGTACAGATAGAAAAAAAAAGAACAGTTTGTGATTGGTTAGAAATGAAAAATTTGAATAAGATTATTTTTATTTAATGAAGAAAAAAGATGTTATTTACTTTAATCAGTTTAAATTTATTTTATTCATTTTCGATTTTAATAAATTTTACTGTAGAGGTTAAGTAATCATTTATGATTGGTTGATAATGCGACTTGCTATTTTTAGTGTGCTTCTTTTTTTTTTTTGTTCTGTTATGTATGACGAAAATCGTATTGTTCGCTTACATTCTTTTTACTAAAACCAATGTTAAAAAACGAATAAGAAATTAAAAAGAATAGGAGAAAAAAAGTCAACTAATATATTTTTTTTCTTTTCTTCTATCCATTTATGATACTCATCTTTCAACTATGAAGCTTTTTTCGCTATCACCGGGCTAATGTAGTACATTTGATATGCTAACTATGTACCACACTTGCCAGCGGTAGATAATGAATAGAGATTTATTGATACATGTGTTCTCTCTGATTTCTTATATGTTCATACTGTTTGTCACGTTTGTTCTTATGATAACTGTTTCATATGAAAGACACCTTTCTAATCAATACTTAGTTTTTTTTCCTTTTGTAAATTTTTGAAATATATATTTGCTCTTATGACATATGTCCGATCATTTAATGATTCAAAAAATTAATTTTTCTAAAACTAATTATCAATCTTAATTGATTGAGATAATCAACAAATTGAAAACAATGTTCGAAAATAACGGTGCATATACGCATTTAAGTTTTGTATACCATTCTGTACTAATAAACATTTCACACACAAATTGAAAACATCACAGTAGCAACAGATAATAAATACGAACAATTCTCTGAAGACAAGAAGAACTTAAAAAAGACTGCATAGACTTCTGTTCTCTCCTTAAAGACATATGTCTCACAGGCACGCGTATTTTTCATCCGTCTATCATTATCATTGGTTATTTTCAGAATATAGGCATTTATGGATAACAGAAATATCACATTATGATAAGAGTATTGATTAATTTAGTTTGTTTTCTATTTTGTATCATATAAACAATTTGATGTTTAGAATGTATTGAAGAGATTTTTCTATTCGATTAAATTTTAATAAAAACAAGTATTCAATCATGTTGTCTATCGTAATATGAAACCATTTATTGCGTTTATTATCGTCATTATCAAGTAAATTGATAGTCTTTCATGTCAAATCGATATGAGAATTCAAGGAAAATAGTAGATAAACTATCACTTGTGTTTACGTTATCGAATAAGAAATGTTTTCTCTTTCTACAACGAGTTATATCAAATGTACTAATCTGAATATATCAGATTAATTTTATTCATTAATAATTTAGAATATTTTCTATCTTGAAAACGATATTTTAACATAGGTTTCTATGAATTAAAGCAAAGAAAATTATACAATTAATTGTCCAGTCACTGATGAATATGATTAAAGTTTTTGCTTACGCAACGCATATAAAGCTATTGCTTGTCTAGACTAATTCAAGTAAGTTGATTTTTATCGATCGTACATTTTAAATATGAATAAAAGAAAGCTGTATTCTTTATTCAAAACCACTTAAAATTATAAATTTTTGAGAAGGAAATGCATTTCATAATTGATTCAGTACACGAAAATCTACAAACTTATGAAGGAACTGTTTCAACAAACCAATTGCTTTTTCATTGGAAGCAAATGAATTGTAAATTACCAACCGTGTTGATTTCGAATAGAACCATGGTAGATCTTTTTAAGTCGTCATATGCTTGTTTTCTAGAAAACCACTCTTCTAGACGAACAAACTTCTCGCCGAAAATTTTTTTTTCGGTTCGTTTAGCGAACGGATATATCTGAAGTCTTCTATTGTGTCTTATCGTTCACAAGTTATGAAGAGTTCATCTAAAAAATTTTCTGAAAAGTCAGTTAATTATATTCTCAATGATAAAACATTTTATTTTATTATTTTTTTACATACCAATACAATCAAAAAACGTCGATCATGTGTCAATATATAAGAAAACGAATAATTGACAGCAAGAATATTCTTTTTTTACACTATAAAGACAATTATGCAGTAAAAATTTAGAAGTTTCGATATTACCAGTACGAGTTTTTTGTAAAAAATTAACGTAGATCGGATGCTAAAATCTATCTTTTCATATAATTTAGTGAATATGACAGGAATTCATTTTTCGAGAATTTATTAAAACTATTGGTCTATATCACGATAGTAGGTAACGCATTCTAACTGTACTGGAAAGCAGTCATAATTCCACAAACACTGCTCTAACTGTCAGCCAAGCATTAAACTGCAAGTCTCGGACATTACCTTGTCTCATTTGTGTCATTCAATATCGAAATGAATATGGGAATTCACAGTAAAACTCTGAAACAACGAATCCTGAAAAGGGTGTGGGTGTCAATATCTCTTCATGGACATCCACAACCTTCTTTACACACTTTAGAAAATCATTCTT